CCCCGCTTCTCATCTTCCTAAATAGCAAGATGCGACATAGTCTGCCCCTGCCCAATCTGCGGCGCCGCCTTCGGCAACGGCTTCAACCTCTGCTGTTGCACCGGCGTCCGACTCGTTCCCGGCAGCGTATTCGTCCCCGGATAAGCTTTCTTCGGATCCGGTTTCTTTTGCTCAGTGGGCGGTGTAAACGGCTTCGGTTGGCCGGGCTTGACTGCGGCTTTCTTGGTCGTCGGGTACGCGGGTTTGGGGAGGCCGTTGGTATCTGGGAAAGGCTTTGGAAGAGCCTTGTTGGCTGAGGGAATTGCGCCGGGGCCCTTGAAGGGAGGGATAGATTTGGTGGCTCCGCCGATGGCTCTTTGGCCGCTGCCTACGAGGCCTCCGGTGGTTTTTGTGGTGGTGTTGGTTACGGCGCCGACGGTGCTGTTTGCGCGGCCTATGACGCCGCCGGTGGCTTTGGATGCGTTGCCTGTTACTCCTCCGACGGTTTTGTTCAGTCCTCCGACTGTTCCTCCGACCGTCTTCTTTGCTCCTCCGACAGCGCCGTTCACTTGGTTACTGCCTGGGTATTTCTTCGCACCTAGCGGCGTTCCACTGGTTGTTGGCTTGTTGCTCGCGGGGGTCGAGTTGGAACGCTTGACCACGGGCTTTCGTGCTGTGGAAGGGAGGGCTTTGGCTGTGGGTTTGTAGGTTTGGCCGGTGATTGCGGTGCCGTAGCTTGTTGCTTTCTTCTCGAGACCTGGGCGCTTGTTAGTGAGTGCTCGAAGGACATTTACGGGACGAGCAGCTGACCATTTCCTACACTCCTTCCACTATTCTCAATCATATCCCCAGCCTTAATCAAGGCATTTCCACCATATTCACCCGCCGTCTTCTTTCCGGCATCTACGAAGCCCTCCACCGAGTTCCAGATGATGTTTGAGATGAAGCTCGTCATGGTATAGTACGTATAGCGATCTCGCGACTGTAATTGATATCGAGAGCTAAGTTCAACGACGGAGGAGCTATGGTAGTATCAGAAGAGCTCTATAATTCTAGACTGCTAGACCCCAGATCATGTTCTCCCGATGATGCATGGCCTTTGGCGCCACCGCAGCTTGAACCTGTTTCGCTACCCGTCGCATGCAGGGGGGTCGCTGCCGCCCCGCGTCAAATGACGTTATTGTGGCACAGCGAAGTGGACCTGAACCAAAGTCCTGGCTGGCGATCTTTTGACGCAGGTTTTTAGCTTGTGTTGTAGCTTTCTGCCGTGGCATGCCATCAGTACGCTAGGCGGTACAGCGTTGAGGCTGAGTATCACGATGAGGTATGGTCATATGGCAGTTCATTATGTTTATCGTCAATCATACTATTCGTACAAAGCGCGCTACTACTGTCAAACCCTTTTGATTACATATCCTCAACGCCATCGAAAAAGAAACGCTCGTAACTACTCGTTGCTTTGACAAAAGTAACATATTAAGCACCTTGTCTGGCCTTCTCAGCGCAGATCAGGGCGATGATGCGGCTCAACTCTGCGCTCTGCGCAAATTGCTCCTGCTTGGTCTTGTCGTCCACGTCTTCGCACGCTGCGATGTCGTTGCTGACTGTCAGCATGCGGTTCTGGAGCGTAAGGAGCTTGGCGAGTGTGTTGTCGAGGAAAGGTGCGCTGAAAGTGATGTTGGTTGGCGAGGCGCCGTTGTTGGGCATGCGCATCTCGAGTTTCCTGGGTGGCTTCTTTCCCGAGTTGGACGGAGCAGACTGCTGTTGTTGCTGCTGTTGCGCTTGCTGTTGGGGCCTACCGCAGATTGTTAGCAAATGTACTTCTAGACCAGTGATTACGCGATAGGGGTCCATATTCAGGTCGGCAGTTGCATAGTGTGTCCCTGATTTTCCACGCCGTCGCTACCAGAACCAAAAGAATGCCAGGGGAGAATTCAAGGAAGTTCGGACGACTCACTTCTCGCGCTCGACGAATGTCATGTTCTCTGCCATTTCGGCGACGCGGTTTGCGATCCTCGAAGCCATGATAGTGTATGGTGACATCTGAGGTTGCGAAGCTCCGTTCGTTGCGCCATTCGTCTGGGGCTTCTTTGCGCTCTGGGTAGCCTTCTTAGGAGCCCTTGAAGCGGTGGCCCTGTTGGTGGTGCGCTTGGCCGGCGCGGATGCGACTGAGGCTGCGGGCATGTTGGAAAGATGTGATGCGTGGTTTGGGATAAGTTCTGTGATATGTGTCAGTCTCCAGCCTAAATGAACGTTTGAAGGCTGCTCGCGTGCACCACTCGAGTATGCGCCAGGGTCGACAGCTGTCAAAGTCGAACGTACCGTAGATGTGGTGCGAATATGGTGGTATTGTTGGAAGAGGGATGTGATTGAGACGCTTTGGAGAATTGGTATCTACTGCGGAGCGAGTATAGTGTTATTGAGTAGACCAAGAGACTAAGGAAGGGGTAACGGTGTGTCTCGAATATCTTGCTTGCTTGACTTGGTTGCACGCCGCCACACATAACGTCATGCCACGGCACGCTGACAGGGGTTGACGACGCGCAAGTGGAGCATCCATCTTGATCTCGAACCTGGAACCGTTAGCCTGCACTGACGTCGCGGGTAGCCCGTCACTGGTGCTGATAGTCGTGTTTGACGTTTTGGACTTCGATGTTCGCTCGTGTGCCAACTGTGGAAGATGTCGCCTGCTACTGCTACGAAGAAGCCGGTCGTTACCAAATCGCCGGCTGCCAAACCCCCAGTGAAGAAGGCGACGGCTCCAAAGCCGACTCCAGCGAGCCAATCAGCGTCCAAGCCGCCGCCAGTACCAGCTGCTGTTAAGAGGAAGAAGAAAGATGACCTCGGTGCTGGATTGCGAATCTCGAAAGACAATGTCGAAGCGCATCCGGCTGGACCACCGCGCTTTGGCGAGTTGACACAGGCAGAACGGGCTTTCACGTTAGCCTCGACGTTCTTGTCCGGCGTCCTGGCGTAAGCACGTCCGTGTCCACCTCCAGATACACCCAACTAATACCTGACAGTATAAGCGCATCCCAATTCCTAGGCGCACCACTAAAGCTGATTGATCCGCAATTCTACGATGGGTACATGGCCTACACCAAAGAATGCTTCGCCATCCTGATCACATGTCTCACCCAATGGTGGGCTCCGACTGTCGTCCGTGTATCTGGAGACTCTAGCATGGTCGGCCAACTTATCAAACGCAAAGATGGATCATTGCAATGCAATTTTGCAGACCGTATGGTTCTCATGGCAAACCATCAACTCTACACTGACTGGCTATACATCTGGTGGATCGCATATACGAACAACATGCACGGCTTCATCTACATCATTCTGAAGGAGTCGCTGAAGAACATTCCGATCATTGGATGGGGCGCCCAGTTCTACAACTTCATCTTTCTATCTAGAAAATGGGAGGAAGACCAGCGCACATTCAAGAAGCATCTTAGCAAACTGAACAAGAAGGGAGACCCCATGTGGCTGATCATCTTTCCCGAGGGCACGAATCTGTCCAAGACTACACGCGAAAAGAGCCAGCAATGGGCGAAGAAGAATGGGCTGCAGGACATGAAGCACCAACTGCTTCCACGCAGCACTGGCCTCAAGTTCTGCCTCAATGAACTGAGAGAAACGACAGATTGGCTGTACGATTGTACCATCGCATACGAAGGCGTACCAGAAGGACAATTCGGTCAAGATATCTTCACTCTGCGCTCTTCTTTCTTCGAAGGCCGGCCTCCCAAGTCAGTCAACATGCACTGGCGACGATTCCACCTCGACGATATCCCATACGAGAACACACACGCTTTCGAAGTCTGGCTGAGAAACCGTTGGAGAGAGAAAGACTACATGCTAGAATACTTCAGCCGCCACAACCGCTTCCCCGCAGAAGATTTCTGGAAGAACCACCTGGACATGGACACCAAGAGCGAGAGCAGCAGAGGCGGAAACAAGACCATCCGAACCGTCCCCCGCCCAGCCGTCCAAATCGAAACCGAAGTCAAAAGCGGCAACTGGAACGAGTTCGTCAAGATCTTCGCTCCAATAACCTCCGTCATGATGGCTCTAACCGTAGCCTACGGTGCCTCACCCGAAGACCTACCCATACCCGGCGCCAAAGAATTCTTCCAAACGCACATGAAAACACTGCTAGGCCAAGGCGGCGACATCAAAGGTCTCCCAAGCCCTGAACAACTAGAAAAGATGATTGAAGGCGCCGCACAAATGGGCGCAGCACAAGCCGCCGGACCCAAAGAAGTACCAGAAGTACAGCGCCTGACACAAGAAAACCTCGCCAAACTAGTCAAAGAAACAGCCATTGCAAGCGGCGCTGTAATGCCCAATGGAATGAGAAGAGCAAGTACAGCATTGCCGCCACCAATGACCAAGACGCTGCAAACGCCCACTGCTGCAACCCCAGCAGCACGACGAGCTCAAAGCGCGGTGAACCTCCCTACATCCTCAGCGAAGAAACCCACACCCACAGCACCTAAACCAGGCACCGCCGCACACGCCCGCGCAAACCCCGCGGCAGCAACCACAACCAAAAAGCCCACACCATCTCCACCCACAGGCCCCATGAAAGAAGTAATGACAGCCTCAGGCGTCATGATCAAAGTCCCCCAAACCGAAGTCGAACAGGCCAAGAAAACAGGCACGCTAACCATGGCGAACGGCGTCAAGATCAAGATCGGCAAAGAAGACATCGAAAAAGCGCAGCAGGAGAAGAAGGGGACTACGTTCATAACAGCAGGCGGTGTGCCCATCAAAGTGACGCCTAGCGGTGCTGTGCAGGTGCCTGAGAAAGTGAGCAAAAAGGGGCAAGCGGCGGCTGTGAAGAAGACGGGGGAGTTGGCGGGGAAGATGGGGGATTTGTCTGCGCCGGCGAAGAAGGCGCCTGCTAAGATAGGGGGTGCGACGAATGGGACTGCGAAGAAAGGGACTGTTGGGAATGGGGCGGCGAAGAAACCGGCTACCGCTACTCCGAGGAAGCTTTGAGATGGGTGTTATGAGGATAAAGGTATAGGTTTTTTGGGGGGGCACAGTATAACCAGGGTGTTTGTTTGGCGTTGAACTAGTATATATGACTAGGTCTTGGGTATTTTTGTTTGTTTGTATGTAAGATATCAGTATGCCATTATTGGATTTGAAGCAAAATAGCCTATCCCGTGCACCGATACTGTGTTATATGGCCGGCCCCCCAGTCTCGGTCGTCGTACCGGAAGAACCCATAAACTCAGACGACGATCTCACTAACCGCTATACCAAGTCGTCTTCTTGACCTGCGTGTCCATCCATTCGGATCGTTCAAGCACTCGTCCGTCGTTCGTCCTTGCGCCACTAAACGAGAAACGGCGTTAATACCTTAATCCCTCTAAGAAATTGATAGACGAAGAGGACGAAGAAAGAAAATCCAAGACAACCATCCAACAAGATTGTGCATCAAATCCTCTTGTATAACAACCCACAAATCCTCACAGCGGATACCACAACAACAACAACAACACAAAAAAATCCATGTACAGCAAACATTACCTCTTCTTCCTCGCAGCCTCCTCCTGCTGTAACTTGTGCATCTTGGCTCTAGCGCTCTTGCTGCCACCCAGCTTGGGTCCTGTGATGGGAGGTGGCGCACCCTTGACAGGAGGAGCAGGTGGTTTCCTCGCTTGTTGTTTCGCTTCCATGGACTCGAAGTATTCGTTGCGGAACTGCTCGACGAGGGCGTCATCGGTGTTGGTGGAAGTGGAGGTGTTGGCGTGAGGGTTTGCGGGGGTTGGGGAGTCGAAGAAGTCGACTGCGTGGGGATGTTAGTGAGGAGGTTGTGGCAGGGGGAAAGGGAGAGGGAGAAGGGAACGTACGTTTGGCTTCTTTCAGTACAGCTTCGACCATTTGGTCGCGTCGCTTGTCTTCTTCCGTCTTGCCGTTGGCTTTGGGCTTGCGCCACGCGTA